TTCTCTGTGGTCTACACTGCTCTCACCCACTTGGAGCAGCAGGACTCTTACGTCCGTATGCTCTTTGTGGACTTCACATCTGCCTTCAACACCACGATCCCCCAGACCCTGATGGACAAACTACTCACATTAGGACTAAGCCCCTCCCTGTGCAACTGGGTCCTGGACTTCTTAAGTTCAAGGTAATTTATTGTCATTCACATCACATGTGGTACATGAAGTGGAATGAAATTATGAACACAGGGTCCCAGTTACATCCAACAATAAAATGTAAAAGAAAAACAGTAATAAGATCAAAGATATGAAATAAGAAATACACTGAACAGTTAATAGTGCAAAACAATATGCCGAACAGCAACAAAAACATGATTCTGTGCGAGTACATGAGTACGAATGAATACAGCAGCATGAAATAAATCTGCATGAGATCAGCAGCATGGATAATCAGCAGCACATTTCAACAATCAAAGTGGCATTACAGTGATTTTTTTTTCCACAGTGATTATTCTGGTTAGAGATTCATGAGTCTAACAGCCTCAGGGTAGAAGCTGTTCCTCAGTCTAGTGGTTCTACACTTAATGTTCCTCAACCTCCTTCCTGAGGGGAGTGGGGCAAAAAGTGTGTGAGCTGGGTGAGTGGGGTCCTTCATGATGCAGGTGGCCCTCTTCCTGCATCTGGAGGTGTAGATGTCTGTGATGGTGGGGAGACTGACTCCAACAGCCTTGCAGCATGAGATGTTTATCAGAACACAGTTTGTGGACCAACCTTTGTTTATGTAGATGCACACTCCTCCTCCGTGTGTCTTCCCCATTAGTTTGCTGCAGCGTTCCGCTCGAAAAAAGTTTTCTCATCCAGCTGCAATGCAACATGAAATATGTTGTTATTAAGCCATGTTTCTGTGAGACAGAGTACTGCACATTTCCTCATCTCATCTTTTTTTTCTTCTCTCTGTCAGACGTGTCTCCCGGTGCTCCCCCCCCCCCCCCCCCCACACACACACACACACTTCCCTGCTTGCAGTCTTTCATCTTGTGAACCCTTAAAGAGCCTCTTTTTTTTCCTGCATACCTCTTAATTCAAAGGATTTGATCTGCTGGTCTCTCTACAAAATTGATCAACTTCTCCCGACAGGAGTCAGAGTAAGGAGGACCCAAGATGGAAACAAATTGGATTCATGATGCCAACTAGAATTTTGCTGTTTAGGTTGGTGAAATCTGGATTGTCTACAAATTAGTGTGGAGTTGTCGAAGCTTGGCAGTACTCAGACTGAATTATGTGGAGCTGCGTCAGAGCTGGAGCAGCTGTTATCAGGACTGTGAACTTTCTGGCAGCCCCCATGAACGGTTGGGAATAATCTTGGAGAAGCTGTGAGCTCAACTTTTGGCGTAAAGGATCAATTTGTCTGTTTTGGAGTTTCCATCAGAGAAATATATACAAACTGGATTCTAAAAAAGTTGGGACACTAAAAGACACTAAACAAATTGTGAATAAAAACTGAATGCAATGATGTGGAGGTGCCAACATCTAATATTTTATTCAGAATAGAACACAATCACAGATCAAAAGTTTAAACTGAGAGAATGTATCATTTTAAGGGAAAAATCTGTTGTTTCCAAATTTCATGGCGTCAACAAATCCCAAAAAAGTTTGGACAAGTCCATTTTTACCACTGTGTGGCATCCCCCTTCTTCTTCCAACACTCAACAGACGTCTGGGGACAGAGGAGACCAGTTTCTCAAGTTTAGAAATAGGAATGCTCTCCCATTCATGTCTAATACAGGCCTCTAACTGTTCAATCGTCTTGGGCCTTCTTTGTGGCACTTTCCTCTTTATGATGCTCCAAATGTTCTCTATAGGTGAAAGATCTGGACTGCAGGCTGGACATTTCAGTACCCGGATCCTTCTCCTACGTAGCCTTGATGTTGTGATTGCTGCAGAATGTGGTCTGGCATTATCGTGTTGAAAAATGCAGGGTCTTCCCTGAAAGAGATGACGTCTAGATGGGAGCATATGTTGTTCTAGAACCTGAACATAGTTCTCTGCATTAATGGTGCCTTTCCAGACATGCAAGCTGCCCATGTCACAAGCGCTCATGCAACCCCATACCATCAGTGATGCAGGCTTCTGAACGGAGCGTTGATAACAACTTGGGCTATCCTTGTCCTCTCTGGTCCAGATGACATGGCATCCCAGTGTTCCATAAAGAACTTCAAATCGTGACTCATCTGACCACAGAACAGTCTTCCATTTTGCCACACTCCATTTTAAATGACCCCTGGCCCAGTGCAAACGTCTGAGCTTGTGGAGCTTGCTTAGAAATGGCTTCCTCTTTGCACTGTAGAGTTTCAGCTGGCAACGGCGGATGGCACGGTGGATTGTGTTCACTGACAATGCTTTCTGGAAGTATTCCTGAGCCCATTCTGTTATTTCCTTGACAGTGGCATTCCTGTTTGAGGTGCAGTAACGTTTAAGGGCCCGGAGATCACGAGCATCCAGTAGAGTTTTACGGCCTTGACCCTTACGCACAGCGATTCTTCCAGATTCTCTGAATCTTTTGCTGATGTTATGCACGGTTGATGATGATAACTTAAAAGTCTTTGCTATTTTACGCTGGGTAACACCATTCTGGTATTGTTGCTCTATCTTTCTGCGTAACAATGGTGGAATTGGTGATCCTCTTACCATGTTGGCTTCTGAGAGACACAGACACTCTGAGAAGCTCTTTTTATACCCAATCATGTAGTCAATTGACCTAATTAGTGTTAATTGGTCTTCCAGCTGTTTGTTATATGCTCATTTTCCTTTTTACAGCCACTTATTGCTACTTGTCCCAATTTTTGGGGGGATTTGTTGACACTGTGAAATTTTGAATCAACATATTTTTCCTTTAAAATGTTACATTTACTCAGATTAAACTTTTGATCTGTCATCTATGTTATATTACGAATAAAATATTGACATTTTCCATCTCCACATCATTGCATTCAGTTTTTATTCACAATTTGTTTAGTGTCCCAACTTTTTTGGAATCCGGTTTGTATGTGTATATATGTGTGTGTGTGTTATGGGTTGAACGACTACATAATTTTTAAACTCGACATTAACATAATAAAATTTGAGTAGACCTCGAGTAGTTGATGACGTCATAGAATCTCAAGATGAAAAAATAAATAAAAAATAAAACTGCAAAAAACCCGTCATTTATTATTTACAAAAAAAGACCAACAAAACATTAGGAGCATATATTTTGCTCCTACCATTTATCATACTGCAAATAAGTCACTGGGAAAACTAAACTGTTAGTTTTTATTATTAAGCTGCAAAAGTGAAGAAACGTGCAGCATGTCAAAAACAAAACTAAAAACAGCCAGCTGTGGTGCATTAGGTTTAGAGATTAATATTTTTTGCTTTAAGGGTGCATTCACACCAGCCCTGTTTAGCCCGCTTTAATCGAACTCTAGCTCATTTTCCTAGAAAGTCCGGTTCCTTTAGGGAGGTGTGAACGCGCCATCAAACTCTGTCACGGAACAAAAAGGCGAACTCTGGCCCGGGCTAAAACCTAGGTCTGGTAGAAGAGAACTCCAGCGCGGTTCGAGTGCATTGTGAACGTAAACAGACCGAGCCCGCTCCACAGGACAAACAAACAGCATTTCTCTTATATGGAGCCGTCAGCTGCCTTGTGTGAAAAACCATATTCTCCATGGTCTTCTGTCTCATCTTCTGCTCATGCCGAGTCCATTTTTGAAAAATGACAAAATATAACTCCTAAAACTGATAAAACTTGACGCCACTTCATTTTTATTTTTATTTACAAAAGAAGAAGAAGAAGACGTGTTTTCAGAGGTTTTTGTGTTGTTTCTTTCAGTAGTTCTTAGTGCAGCGCCCCCACAGGCGAGCGGGGGAACAGGTTGGTTCAACAGGTTGACTCGACTGCACAGTGCAGTGTGAATGCAAACGCATCAGCTCAAATGTAAACAAAAGGTCATGAATATTGGTCCTGAACCGAACCGAGTCTACCGGACTATCTGGTGTGAAAACGACCCTAGTTTGTGAAACAAGGTCAGAGGAAACTGGTTCTGGTTCTGTCGATTGGACCCGGTGTTACACCATATTCTGTGACCTGCAACAGTGCATGCCTCCTACGGTCACAATATACAGTGGTCACAGAATATGGTGTAACACTGTTTCACAATGAGCTCCAAACAGTCAGGAAGTTGATTCATTTTCTGTTTCCTTACGGTAGTTGAACCAGAAGATTCATCTTTAGTGAAATATTTCCAGACTATTGATGTATTTCTACCTGTTTGTCAAGACTGGACCTGCTCCACTCAGT